GTCACGGTGACGGGGGGGACAAGGGGAGATCCCGAACGGCGAACAACGCTCGCGCGCGATGTAAACAGTGCACGGTTGTTGGCAGGCAGTCCTGCAGTCGGATGGGTGCAACGCCACCGCGGACCTTGAGCGATTATTTTACGACGGAACTCGGCACCGTTGCCCTGTCCTCGCAAAGCGGCTGCATTTCGCGCTCGCATTCTCATTCGCGCCCGATCATGATCCGCTGCCTTCCGCTGCGAGTATCGTGACGCCGAGGTTCTACCGAAAGTATTCTGGCAGGGAGACGAGACGTCGTAGGCTGTCTGCTCGCAATTGGAAAAGTCGAGGATCAGGAGATTAGGAAACGAAGGAGAAAATTTGACGTTTTAGGGAATTTTACAGCAGGTCTGTTCGGTAATAATAACAACACCGCGAGCTCGTAGCGTGGAGGAGCAGTGCAGCGCTAAGAAGAACGTCAAAATTGTATTTCGGTAGCGATAATTATGTTATAACATAATTATACGTATAATATTTAATAATAAATATTTATTAAATATTTAATATAATACTCTATTTAAATATATATTATAATATAATATATATAATAATATTATTTATAATAATAAATAATACAAAAGAGAAGAGATATTTTGTTTACGTATAGACTCCAAGACTTGTCGATAAAAATTGTAATATAATTACGAATATGACGAATTATGAATTACGATGAGACGAGCAGCATCGTAGTTTCTAGGACACCTTATCGAAAATGGAACTTCCAAGTTCAAAATAATAACAACACCGCGAGCTCGTAGCGTGGAGGAGCACTGCAGCGCTAAGAAGAACGTCAAATTTGTGTTTCGATAGTGATAATTATGTTATAATTATTACGTGATTATATATTATATTATATCGTTAGTGATAATTATGTTATAATTTAATAATAAATAATACAAAAGAGAAGAGATATTTTGTTTATGTATAGACACCAAGACTTGTCGATAAAAATTGTAATATAATTACGAATATGACGAATTATGAATTACGATGAGACGAGCAGCATCGTAGTTTCTAGGACACCTTATCGAAAATGGAACTTCCAAGTTCAAAATAATAACAACACCGCGAGCTCGTAGCGTAGAGGAGCACTGCAGCGCTAAGAATGTCAAATTTGTGTTTCGATAGTGATAATTATGACATAATCGTTACGTGATTATATATTATATCGTTAGTGACAATTATGTTATAATTTAATAATAAATAATACAAAAGAGGAGAGGTATTTTGTTTACGTATAGACTCCAAGACTTATCGATAAAAATTGTAATATAATTACGAATTATGAATTACGATGAGACGAGCAGCGTCGTAGTTTCTAGAACACCTTATCGAAAAAATGAAACCTCCAAGTTCAAGGGAGAAAGATTCGGACACAATGTTTTGTCGTTTTTAAATATTTTTTAATAAGTTCGATAAAAAAATTATATAAATCGAATACTTGATAACAAGATAATAAGTATTATAAACAAAAGGCTAAATACAAATGTACAGTCGTTACGAGTATGAACTTGTTAGAGCGCGATTAATTCCACTATCTTGTATAAAGGAAACTTATATCTACGGGATACATATACATTATAGCTCGGGGGGGACACATGGTCGCTCGGTTCTTCACCGAGAAAAAAAAAGAACTGTTGAACGCTCGTCTTTCTCGATGCCTGCTGGATATCATATATCTTCGGACCTTGCACGGGAGCACCGTTACGCTCAAAAACGTACTCGTACAATCGAACATTCGCGATGGAAAACGCCGCGAACGGCCACGCTAGATACAACGATGCGACGACGGTGTAACCGGTAAGAAAAGGCTCCGGGGGGAAGATTCTTGGGAATCGTGGCATGCGATACACGGGAGGAGACGATATCTTGAAACGAGACGATTTTAAGCGAACGTTGAACGACAACCGACCAAAAGCCTCGCCGCGGGCGCTGGCCATATCCGTGGAGAAATATTGCTCGACTTTTCCGTTGGTCGTGTCTCAACGAACGGAAGGCATTCGTTTGCTTCGCGTATACGAAATCGCGTTTGAAAAAATACAGTTTGATTTGTACGAACGATAACGTTGGTACACCCTCTCGATGTTTTCCACTGGTTTGCCGTACTCTCTCCCTCTCTCTCTCTCTTTCTCTCTACAGCCGTCGATGTAAATTCTCTCGAAATTGTTCCTCATCTTGGACGCAAAAATGGACAACACTGTAAGAGGAGAATACCCGTGAGAGAACTATAAAAACATATGCGATCGTACCTCCTCGGTCCAAGTTGTCCGTTTTTGTTTACAAGCTGCCGTTCGGACAAAACATTCGAGGAGAATTAATTTACTGTACTCGCAAATCCGCGCGGGACCACGAATTGTATTTTGTATTGCACTTTGGTGTGTTCGTTTATTCCTAGAGTTTATACTTCTAACTCGGACCTACAGAGAAATTACCAAATCTATATACCACAGTCTCACGGACACGCGACGTTCCGCCGTTCCGATTTCGTTTACCTACGCGTCCACCTCCGTGCGGTCGAACCCGTATAATAATATCGATCCCGGCCAGAGATCGCGTCTCCGAGAAAGTTTGCCGGGGACACAGTCGATGTTTCGATGCTCGATACTCGTGCGGCAGAAATATTTGAAAGGAAGCTCGTCGACGAACGCGTCTCTCCGTCCCGGTCGCCGGCGTTCGCGGTACCTAAGTGCCGAACCGTGATACATCTGTTCGTTCTTCTTCTTCGTATTATAAAAATAATGTAGGTACTATGCGTTGGAGAGTATGGTCGCCCGATCGATTGATCGATCGATCTATCGAACGCCGTCGCGTACGACTCGAGCACGACGACAACTCTTTCACGTAACCTTCGAAAAGAAAAACAACATCGATAAATCATCATCGATCGATCCGTCGACGGACGGATCCTCCGTCGATCGAAGAATATTCACAGCCTATTAGTCGC